TTTCACCAACAACCACCACACGTACAGCAGCCTCCTCGCCAATATACTCCCTCACCTTCACTAACTAACAATCAACAACCTGTGCTTTAATTCTTGGAGAGCGCGACGCCAGAAGCGCCGTGCGTACGTGCCGGCCCTTGACGGCTCGGCCCGGAACGGATGCGTCATACTCCTCAGAATTTAAGGGGAGGTTCGCGAGCAGCGCTCCGGACTCTCCGCTCGTTTAACCAGCGTCTTTCTCCGCAGAGCAATTGTTCCCAAAAATACATTTCGTGGGATTCACCCGAAAGTCCGCACCTGTTTTCTATGTAGGCGAACACCAAGCCGGCCGACATTTTTGCTCTTGTTTTTCCGGGGGATATTCTTCTTGTTAACCGAGCGAGCTTGGAAGAAGTTTTTATCTTTTTCCCTTGTACACGGGACGCAAGTGTTTTTTTTTTCTTTTCCATCCGGATGGTCGAGGGAAACGTTTTGGGCATAACAAGAGACGACAGAAAAACTCCCGCACAGACCCGGCCAGTCCCTGGTTTCTGCTGGTTGGAGGGGGGGTGGGGGGGAGAGAGAAGAAGAGGATAAAAGTCTCAAAGGAAATTTAAAAACAAATTTAACTACATAAGAAGTGTTTGGTTTCTCAGCACGCACATTCTTTTCGTCTGGCGCACACGTTTGGCACAAATATGCGCAAACCTGTTGGTAGTTTGGAGTAAAAGAGCTTCGTTTAAATCTGGATTTACTCTTTTTTTTTCTGGGGAGTTTTTTCTTCTTATTATTCTTCTTCAAGCCTCCAAATCTCAACTCAGTGAGTCTTCCTCATCCGACCAACACTGGCTGTTTCACAGGTGAGTTACTATCCCTCCACTCTTTGATTTCACTTTATTTATACACCAGCTTACTATCCCTCTCCACTCTTTGATTTAACTTTATTAATGCACCAGCTTTCATACAGAAAACACACAACAACATGCACTGAAATACAGTATAAATAACAAACAACAACAAACAAATGATGTGGAAAAATACAAAGATTTAAAACCTAAAAACTTACTTCAAAATAAAAGCCAGATTAAAAAGAGCCACTTCACTGTAAATTCACCATGTGAGAGCTATTGTTCCACAGTTGAATGATTTTACATGATTATCTTGTTTTAAAAAGGAGCTATTTAAAGAATTGTAAAGATATTTAATTAAACATGTTTTTCTTTATAAACCATCTGCTGTAATGTAAAAGCCTGTTTACACCAGTATTGTAGTGAGTGTTTCATGTAGTTACACCTCCCTCTGCTCCATGCTTGATAATAAAAAGGCCCAAATGTTGCCTGAAGGCTGCATCAATTAAGTAAAATCTAACTTAAATATCCAAATATAGGATTATATGAAGATTTTATGTCGCCAAAATAATTGTGATACACGAAATTATCTCGATAATCATGAAAATAAACTTTATACTGTGGTGCTGTAGGGATGCTCTGGCCCCTGGTTCCCCACCTGGAGGTCACAGAAGTTTCACTAGGGCCTTGAATTTAAAGGGTGTAAGAGAACTTGACAAACATGCACAGTAAGGCCTATATGTCTGCATTACAGTAGACGGAGAATTGTATATAAAGTTCCTAAAAGACTAATCTCTGATCAATACTCGCAGGAAATGAACTGGTTTTACACAAACGTCCTGCTTCATTGTACAGTTTATCAGCTGTTCTCTACTCTTACTGTTATACATTCAATATAAAGTGAAATATCCATAAAATAAGACATACTTTTACTTTTAATGGTAGAAAATGAGTCCTTTAGGGATAAAGGTTGTTCTGGAACTCCAGATGTAAGAAAATGAGGATTTTTTCAGTAAAAATGAACATTTCTGATTATTCCCACTAATCACAAGTCGCATTATCTGTCAGAGTGATCTCAATATGATTGTTTTACCACATCATGCAGCTCTTTACAAAGAACTGCTCTGGTTTTCTTGTGTAGGCGCCTTTAATCAGATTAGATCATTAACTGTAATGAAGGCTGCCCACATCAAGGCTGAAGCCTAGAAAGCAAATGTTTAACTGCACACGGTGGCGTTAAACAATGAGGCTGAGTTTCATGGAGCCGTGGCTACTAATTCGTGGTCTTGTGATATTTCCATATCCATCCTGTAGTGATGGAACATAACCAGCAGTCCTCAGACCTCGTTACATCGGCCAGCAGAGTCTGGGAGTTATGTAAAGCTCTAAATGTTCTGCTATAAGGGAAGAGAAGGAGGAAGATGGATGGTTTAGGGAAGCAGCAGGTCCACGGGGAGTTCACCAGGAGGGAGGTGGAAAAAGTTTTCTCCTCAAACATATAATGGGAAGTGAGGAGGAACAGTCCTGCCCTTTAATTTACTAGGCTGCTCCCCTGGCGCGCACTTATTGTCACTTGAGCTGTACGGTTGTATTTATTCTAAAAGCTGCAGGTTGGTGTTCTGTGGATGTTCGTTAGATGTTAGGGTGGTTGGAGGGGGGGGGCTCCACAGATGCTCACTTTGAATGTGAGTGTCAACAAAATGGCACAGTGTCAGATTAATAGTCTTTTCTTTTTTCACATTTGAGTGTAATCTCTCGACACCTGATCTCCCCTCCGTGGCACGCTGCGGGTTCAGACTGCGACGCTGCAAAGACAAACAGAAGTGTCTGTTTTTGTGAAAACAGGAGCCTGAGGGAGGTTGGAGGCTGGTCGGGGGGGGGGGCATGTGGTCTGATGCTCTTATGTCCGCTGAACGCGAAAGCCGTGTGCAGACTGTTGCCTGTTGCTGGCTGGGAGTGCGGTGTTAACCGAGGAGGAGGAGGAGGAGGAGGAAGGGGGCTCCAGATCCAGAATTTGGGAGCTGAGGAATTTTCTGCATGGATGGCAGTGAACAGTAATTATGGTGCAGGCCATGTTATGGGTTGGGCCTGTAACCTTTGTCTCTGTATAATGAGGGAAGCTAAATGTGTCTCCTCGCTAATCTGTTTAGTTTAACCCCCCTCTTTTTTTTATTTGCCCGATTTTCAGTCAAGTGTTACCGTCTCTGTGAAACAAGTTGGATTATACCAAACGGGGATTCTGTAATGAAGCAAAGCGACTAAACTCCTCTCAGCTGCAGCTCTGCGTCAGCTGTCTGCAACCTTTTTTATCTGTTTAGGTTCACATATTTATTAGAAAATGTACTTCCTGAATAATAATGAGCTACTGAAGTTAAATGTATGTTCATGCCTCACCAATATTTATTCAGAATCATTCATAAATCATATAAATCCAGCAGGAATCTGGCCATATGATATCTCATACAGGAGTTATGAGTCAATACATTGCGATACTCTAAGGCGATCAATTGTGATTTAAAAAAATCTCATTTAAGATTAAAAACTCAACTTTTAGTGTTTTTGTTCATCTATACACTAAAAACAAAACAAAATATAGCGATACGATATTTTTTTATTTTTTCTTACTCCCAGAATCTCAAATTGAAAACTTTTAGAAAGTGGGAAACACAAAATCTATGGATGGGAATCAGTGCTGGAAGCAGGGAAGCTAAAATCTGTCAGAATAAAACCCTTTACTACACAAAGAAAGTTTCTATTTATGACTTTCTCCATTTTTACTGAGATTTTCATGTGTACACTGGTATTTATGGCGGTTTATTATCAGTTTTATCTGCTAAAAAGTTATAAAACATGGTGTAAAATGATGATAATCATTCAAATGAATGCAAAAACCACCAATGTCATGCATTTAATTTAATCCAGTTTTATTTGTATTGCTCCAAATCAGATCTGCTTATAAAATAATTTACCCAACAATTCCCACCGTTTAGCATTTAATACGAGGTCATTATATAAAGAGATTAACTTCAGCGTCCTCCTGTGTCTCAGTCATTTGTTAAGTGTGAGGCGAATATGAAGCAGAACCAGGAGTCGAGCTCACAGGTGTGTGAGATGTGTTTGTGTGTAACCTCTCTTGATTTTGTCCCTCGTGTCTTTTAGTCCAGCTGGGCGGGTTTAATCAAACTGTAAGAAATACACCGGAGAGAGAGAGATTTATAACCGCACTGTCACGTCCAAGTGTCCAAATAATCCAGAGTTTTTGAGGCAGATGTAATTTACAGGACATCCACTGAACACTGAGGACTCCAAATATGTATCCTGGGGCCTTATACTTTACTATTGAACAATAAAAATGACACTAAGTACAAAATAACAGTAAATTGTGATCAGTGAACGTCACTGGGAATGACATTTCTTCTACATAAATAAGCCAGACACATTGTCGTATTGATGCTTTAGTTCACGGTCCTGATGCAGATTCCTCAGATTGTCACTGAACTGCTGATTAAAAACAAACTGTTGGCTCGAGTTACTTCAGACTTAATGGAAATGTTATTGAAATCAAGAAAGAAGCTGCCAGTTTTTGCTGAATGTGATGAAACAGCGTGATGATGAAGCACTGTGGCGCTGCAGAGACGCTCTGGGCTGAAGATCTGGTTTGAAAAGTTTGGTACAGACCCCAAAAAATGTCACACGGTCACAAGTTTACCTGTTTTCAGTGAAAATTGTGATTCCTGCCAATCATGAATCACATTGCAGTGGTACTTTACTACAGGTCTGAGATGTTGGCTGTTAAAGGGACTGTGATAAGTACACATGCAGCAGATCCCTGTGTGTGAAGTCCACTATGAAACTTTATAAAACTAGATTTTTAATGTAACAAATGGCAGTACATCGCCTTCCTTACAGTATTGTAATAAATGGAATAGTAACCCCAGATTATTGCCAATATACAACCCTTGTAATATCTGTGAAATAATCACAATGTGATCTTATTTGGGGGGTCAAATGGAGTTTTTTTTGGTCTACAGTAATTTAATTTCCTTCCACTACTAACATCTATGATCTGGAGCAGTAATATGAGGCTCGTGAGTCCAGGATGAGTGTGTCCTGTGTGTGGACAGTGAGACATACTGTGTGTTTGACTCTTGCTCCCCACAAGAGTAGAAGATGACTCAGTGTTGTGTCACGTTGTGTCATACATTTGAGGCTCTACTTCCTCTCGTTTGGACGGTGGCCGTAGTGACGAGGGCCAGGGGAACGTGGTCGGCCGGCTCTCTGCGGTTCCTTCTGTCTGGCGGCAGAAGCACTTTTCTTGGAAGCCTCCCAAAACACTGACTCACTGCCTACAGACCCGCCATGACCAAGCTCCTTTATCCTCCCTCGGACCCCCTCCTGACCCGGCTCAGCTGCTGGAACAGTGGACCATTCTTGGAAAGTGAAATTGAATTGGTTTTGTGGGGAACACAATGAGTGTTTGAGAGGCGAACTCTGACTCACACACAGGCCATTACGTGTTAAAGGAAAGCACAGCTGCACACGAACACGACTGTGTGTGAACATGTTTGACCACGAACACGACTGTGTGTGAACATGTGGACCCACGAACACGACTGTGTGTGAACATGTGGACACGAACACGACTGTGTGTGAACATGTGGACCACGCCGGGTTGTCTTTGACCCAAACCTTCCACAATCTACTCACGCATTTTAAGAGTCTTCATCGATGAGACCCTGCGTTTGTTTTGACCCTTCAGTGACAAGCTCGTGGGAGCAACATGGGTTGTGGGGTGGCAGTGGGAGGGCTGGGGGGGCGGGGGGGTGACTTTGTGCTCAAAACCAACTGTTAGGTGATAGATCTCTCAGCGTGGAAATGATGGGCCTGGCGGTCTCGCTCTCTACAAGGGTGTCACGTAGCAGGCTGTAGTTTTCTTGGCCTTAAACAAATTCCTCAAGGGGGGTTGTGCGAGCGGTGTGGGGGGGTTAGGGGCATGTGTTAATCTCTGCGGCCAGATGCTGCAGAGGTGATGATGCGAGCAGATGTTGCACCCGCTGCACGGTGCCCCTGTTTTTTGGGAGGGTGCTGCACATCCTGGGACCCGGCGGAGGGTCCAGTTGAGACGCGATGCTCTCTGAGCTCCACACGTCTGCGCGCTGTTTGCTCAGAGATACCAGAGCGTGCCTGGTGCTCTGCAGTTTCTTATCAGTGTTTTCGTACAAGCAGAACCTAAATGAAAGTCCCTACCTTGAACCTTTGTGGACATACAGAATATTCTCTTCTTCTTCTTTTCAGTGAGGAATTTCCTCGTCGACAAAACGTGTCTGCTGCTGGTTCACTTTTACAGAACCACAGAACTGCCACTGGCCTAGTTTCACTCTTGTGTGTATCAAAGTTTATTTTCCAGACACAAATATTCCTCCATGTAATCAAATGTCCTCGTTCTGAGCAACATAACACTAACATAAACATCTGGCCTCTAAAAGACTGTAATGGGCCTTGATCAGGGCCGAACCGAGCCCCAATCATGGAAGCAGTTTTGGGCCTGAACCCAAATGTCTGCTTAAAATACAGAAATCATTTTAACTAGTTTATTACAAGCTAAACTACACTGTGTATATAATACAGTGTAAATTATTATTAAAACTACACTTTAACAAATTCATTCATTACAGTTGTATGCATTATTAATACAATATTAAATATATGGCTGCAGTTTCCGGTCGGGTCCAGAGAATCAAAGCTCTGCTCAAAACTGGAAAAAATACCAAAAACTAAAGCAAGTTGTGCTTCTTACATGCTGAATTTAAGAATCTAACCTTAATCTAACATTAAGAATTAGTGAAAAAGCTTACAACAGGACAATTTCTTGAACAGCATAATAAAAATAAGTGACTGTGTTAAATTAAAGCACCAGAAACACTTCTTTTTAGCATTTTTATTAAAAAACAATGAAAAACTGAACAGCTGCTTCATTTCCAACACTGATAAACTGAGACGTTGTGCAAGTGGTCATAATCAATAAGGACAGTGATCTTGTTCCTCTGCTGGGATATTATGCAACCATTGTTGTTACTGCTTAAATCTACCTCCATATTAGCTGGAATATCTTTTAGTTTGATGTATTTTCTTTCTACTTTTCTAATGTAAAACATGCTTTAGAAGATTATTGTTCTTTTTAGTCAGAAAATAAGACTCATTTCCCAGAATCGAGGCTTGTTTACTTTCTTGAGCTTCCTTTGTGCGGTGCACTCGCGTTGTCCAAATAAATGTCTCACTCTTTGTTGCAAACCTGTGAGAAAGCAAGCCTGAATAGACTTTGACTCACTGTGTTTTCTCTCGCTCATAAACCGACCTTTTGAAGGCATGAGGCACGCTCACACGGTCACGTATTCATCTGTTTCTGTTATTTTGTGTTTGTTTTTTAGCGTCGCACTGTGAATGACCCGCCGCTGATGCCCCAAAGGTCTGAATGGAGTTCCAGTCGCAGAAAAGCCAACAGTGGTAGCTCCTTCAGCAGGATGCTGATGAGGCCAAGTATACTTCTGTTTCTGGCTTTATTCGCCCAGGTTTTAAGGACGCAGTGCCGGCCTGCCAGCGCTGATGAAGGTAAGATGGTTTGAGAGCTCGCTCTGTATTCGCTGTGTTTGTTCTCAGCTCTGGGTGCTGCATTATTAAATATCATGCAACCGTTTGAGCTTAAAGTCCGTCTTATCTCCACTCCTGTCTTGATAATCAAAGCTTTGTTCTTTGTACAGGAATGTAACACTAACACACTCCAGGCTTTGGTGAAGTCTCTCCTTTGTAGCGTCACTGCCCCCCCCTCCCCCTTTGCCTGATGTTGTTTGAGTACACTCTGTTTCTGACTCAGTAACACCTTTTTCCCGACTCACTAAACCGTTTATTACCGACTGAACCTTTTGGTTTTATTTAGTTCTTAAACGGGACACTACAACTTTAAGATTTTCTATAAAGAATTTATCCCAGTCTGGCTGTTACACAAGTTCTGTAAAAGAGGGGGGGGGGGAGGCACTGAAATCGAATCCTTAAAAATGTGCGTCTTGGATGCAGTCCAGCGGTGTAATAGCTGCCTGGACTTGTGGGTAGATGGGTTTGGATGTTTACACTCTGCAGTCGGAAGTGGAGAGCAGCAGAAGAATATGATAAAGCCCAGCATTATAATTAGAGTAATTAAGCAAGAGGGTCTCTCTTGGGCTGTAAGCCCTAAAATAAACTTGGTGCGGCTGTGTTTAAGCCAGCAGTGGGACAGGGAGGAGTAAATGACTCCCATCTGTAGCCCCAGGGCAGCCCCACTACCTCGCAGCCCCTGCTCCTCTCTCCTCCTTTGTAATGAAAAGGTATTTGTTGTCACCGGGAGAGGAGTTAACTGCCAGGGAAACTACAAATTATCCCGTTTTTTTTTTTTTGTTAAAAAAAGGAAAGAAGATGCTACTCTGAGCCCTCCCTTTATCCTCGAGGATAAGGTTTCTGAGGAGACTGTTTGTCTTCTAAGGTGAGCCATAAATTTCCACCAGGGTGGGGGAAGTCTGATGCATTTACACTCCACCCAGCTCTTAATCACCAAATGGCCAGGTACTATCTATGTGCCTCTGTGCTTCTCCTCCTGCTCCCCCCACTGACTTTTCCTTGGGAATGCTTCACTTTCCCCCCTCCTCCTCCTCTCCCCTGCCTCCCTGCTGGGTGACGGATGGCTTCAGCTGTCGACAAACAATCACAGCAGAAGCATTTGGTTGCATTCCTTTTGTCCTGGTCGGGGAAACGAAATAGTTATATGGAAATTGTCATGTTTTATGCGTGTTTCTTTGTTTGTCTTCAGGGCCTCTCTGTTGTGTGTTGTTCACATAAGAAAAGAGTATTCCCTGAACACATTCATGGAGTTTCTTCAGGGGCCACATGCACAGACATTCAAATGAAATATTCTCAGAGAAACGTCTCACTGTCGGTATATCTTTTTTAGAGATTTTTTGTGGCTGTGATGGTGAAGTGACAGAAAGTTATTTATGTTGTTCCTGGAGGATTTGTTTTGACTCGATGCTCTGCTGTCAGTCAGAGCCACTGACCCTTCAGTGGAGGGCTCTTAAAATCTAGAGCTGCCACAGTCCTGAGAAAGACTCTGTTCAGACATTGACGGGGGCCCAGAGGAGCACGGCTCTGCTGACGCTCTGAAAGCAGAAAAAACAAGCAAACTGACTTAAAGGTCCAGTGTGTAGGACTGATTTAGATCCAAGAAACTCCAGGCTACTGTGGAGACAACAGTTCCTATATTCAGGGGATTAAACACTAATAAAAACATACCTGTGAATATTTTATTAAAGGCCTCATTGTTACACACTGAGCACCATAGTCATTTTACTTTTCCAGAATCCGAATTTGGTTTGTTGTCACATACGAGGTGTTTACTTTGGTGTTTCTGGTACATAATAATCAACATAGTAAGAAGGAAAATGTAAAGAAAGATAAGAAAGCATGTGCTTGCAAGTCAATAAACATTCAAGGATATTCTGCTGGGTCTTATTAATGATCTGTATCTGGAATTATATTGTAACAGAGCAACTTCTGTGCTTTACTGTTTAGTTTAAACTCTTATTGCTCACGTAATTCATAGATGATTCTTCTGTAGATCTCAAATCAGCACACGTTAATCAAAGTTAATATAAACAGCTGGTTAAATGAACAAAGGGGTAATATACATTAATTGCTGAGTATGTAGGAATTCTGTTAACTTTATTTTACACAAAATGCATTTATAGTAAAGAAAAAGGCTTCGAGTGGACATTTTTGATTTTGGTACTTTGTAAAGTGCTTGAATTGAACTCTGATGCTCTAAATGGCTTGAAAATGTGAAGTTTGCACCATCCTGCAGCAACAGTCGCAGCTCCGAAACAATAAAACCGTTATCCTGCTAATCATGCAGCATGTGCTGTCTGACTGTTTGATTCCTTTCTGTGTGAGACTGCAACAGAACTACATCAACAGTAAGTTTTTAGGGTGTTTTTCAGAGCTCCTGATTTCCCCTGTTTGTCCATTAAAGCCATAATGTAAGGCTAAATGTGGCTGCACTCATTTGAATGACAGTGGAGCAGCAATCCTTGTAGCTCCTGAGTGTTAATGCACGCTCATTGTCAGCGGCTCATTTAGGAATGAAAAGCTCCTCCACTGGAGTGCTTTCAGGAGGGACACTCGCTCGGTGGAGTTTTTTTGGGCTTGCTAATAGGCATTGTGCTATTCTTTTGCTTCCTGCCAGTCCTGCCTTTTGTCTTTTATTAATCCCCCCCCACACACTACTACTACTACACGTCACCCACCCCTTCACTCTGCTCTGCTGCAGAGGAAACTTTCTCCGTGTTTCTCCGTGTGCCACCACAGAGCCTCAACCAGCCCCGACTTCACTGCATTCAACCATCACTCCAGTGAGAGCAGGAAATCCCAGAAGTCATTCACGCGGCATATTGCTTCCTATCTCGTAGCCAGAGAAGGTTCCATAGACTGGCGCCAACTCTTCCTTTTTAGTTGCTCTTGAATTTACACACACTGGTGAGCTGGTTTTTAAAAAAACCCTCAGTGCTTTTCTGCTTCACAAACATTCCTTTCATGATTTTATGTAATTAGGCTGATTTTAAACTACGTCAATCAAGTTTTCCAACTGGTCGGAAGAACACATGAGACTGGATGGGCTGTTTTTTTTTACTGAAAATACCACGCTTAATCCATTTTAATCCAATCACAGCAGCAGGAGGATTAATTGAGATGAAACCTCCTCATATTCAAAGGAAACGCTACAAATGTTTACCTCCCGTGTTAAGAGCTGAAAATAAATATACCGCGAGTGTTTGTTAGTCTTTTTAGTATTTCGAGTTAATCAGGAAAATACCAGTAGTCGGGCTGATAGGTCACATCTCACTCCAGTTTTTAAAGTAGGTTGTCACAGAAGCACAAATGGTCCGACTGTGGCCCACAATAAAGCAACAAGCACATTTTACAGCTTTTATGGGCGTTTTATGATGTCTGCAGCCAGATTAACAGCTGGGATGTTGACACAGTCTTATCAGTGGCATCTCCATTTAGAGGGGCAGGGACATGCTGGCCCCGGCCGCCACCCCCCCACCCCCACACCCCCACACACGTACAT